TATGCTTGCATTTGATGCTCCTTTAATACTTTAAGAGGTTGGTGTCTTATGCTCCATGTTTGGCCCCTTTTGCATGCCTTTAGAATTAGGCCATTTAGATGCCATCTAGGTGTGTCATTGACCTTGTTTTGGCATGATTTGGGGCTGTTTTGTTTCACTTTGGTCATTTACTTCATGTGTCATATGACCATAGTTTAAGTCCTTGGGCTTGGTTCCATGCCTTGCATGCTTGTTAGCTTAGGTTGTGTGCCTAGTATACATTGCTTACGCCCCTTGCTCATGTTGCATACTTAGTTCACATGCTTAGGTTGCATTTGGCATGCATGCCTTTCCTTTTGATTAACCATGATTGAGGTTGATTAACCATGATTGTGGTTGGGCCCCTTGTTTGTTTGTATGCATTTCATTCTAATATTGAATTGCATGCTTGGGCTTCTAGGGCCATCACGCATTGAAATACGCGATTGGTGGTCCGAGGGTCGAGGTCCATCCTCCTTTGAGTCACGAACATGATAAGGAAGGTGTTGGTGCAAACATTGCTTTGAAAATACTTTGCCATGCTCTGTTTGTCCTCTGCTGCAGCAAAACAGGATTCTGCAGGAAGAGATGGCTGGTCGACCATCTTCAGTGCCGGCTAGCCATTAATTGTTAGCCGAGATTACCACAAATGGTCGATGACCAGTTCCCCACGGACAGTGGCCTCACCTCTTGGTCAGTGACCTCCCACAACCCTCAAGGAGTAGTTTAGAAGCAACTTTGAGACTTGCGCAATGTTCAGAGGTGCAGAACAGTGTAAACAGAGGCAGCATGAGTATGGTGATGGATTTCCGAGCGAAGTGAATTGCATGCTTTGGCTTCTAGGGCCATCACGCATTGAAATACGCGATTGGTGGTCCGAGGGTCGAGGACCATCCTCCTTTGAGTCACGAACATGATAAGGAAGGTGTTGGTGCAAACATTGCTTTGAAAATACTTTGCCATGCCTTGTCTGTCCTCTGCTGCTATCAAAACAGGTTTCTGCAGGAATCTTTGGCCGGCCAACCATCTATACTGCCGACCGACCAAATATTTGTGGCCGAGAGCTCCATAATTGGTCGATGACCAACTCCCTTTGGCCGGTGGTGATTCCCCTTGGTCGGTGGTGTTCCACAGTGTCCATGGAGTGTACCTTGGGACTTGTGCAATTTTCAGAGAAGTAGAGCAGGAAAAACAAAGGCAGCTTGTGCATAGCGACAGATTTCTGAGCAAACCCGAGCACGCATGCATTGGACCCTCTTCCCGAAGCTGTTTATTGCTTTCTACTAGTTAGGTGGTCTGTAATAATTAATTAGTTTATAGGTTAATTAATTTGTATATTCTTTTGGTTCCTCCGAGCGAGGGCGAATTTGTAATAAGTGTGGGTGCGTGTGTGCATGTCTTCCAACCCCCACTCTTTCTCCCTTTTACTTACCTACTTTCAATGGTTAGTATTAGGGCATGTTTCAATTAGCATACTTATGCTCGCATGTTTGCATCATTCATTTGTCTTGCATGCACCGGGCTCGGCGCATCATACTAACTGCATTGTACTTTCAATTCTAAGTTGAATACGTGTTAGTTGTAGCATCATCATATGCCATCTTAGAATAGCCAAGCCTATTGTAGTTACATCCTGTGTGTGTTGCATTAGTCATCTTAACATGAACTAGGATCATGCATTTGATTACTAACTAGTTTCTTTGGAGTACTCGGTAAGCATTTATGTTTTAGCATCATTGCATGAGTGTGAGTGTTGCCATGATAGCATGCTTACCATGAGGCTATATGCTTACGTGTTATAACTGCCTGAATGCCTGTGGGTGAAGGTTAGGTTACTTAAATTAGAACAATGCATTGAATACAAGTTTTAAGCCCACTTGAGAGTGGCAAAATTATATTTTCTATGCCCAGTTGAGGGTGGAAAAATTCATGTCTTAAGCCTACTTGCGGGTAGCACCATCAAACCATTTTCAAATAAACAAACATGACATGTTTCGTTCCAATTTAGGCGACTTAGTCTATACTTGTTTGTTGTGCGCATCACGTAGTAAATCTAGGCTAATAACCAGAATAAGAACGCATAATGTTTTCAAAACTAGATATCATAGTTAGTAGAGGCCAATCTTCGGATCGAGTGAGAGATGGTGCTCATAGCTGACCTTCCCCAATTGTACCCAAGTTCTCGAGCCGAGGCAACTTTGGTGATAACGGACACGTGGCCTTAGGCAAACGAGTCAGGGTTTCCTAAATTCTCCCAAAATAAAATATTTAGGTGGCGACTCTTTATCTGGCAAAGCAGTCCATATTTGGCACTTTTTTACAAAAATTTGTTTTCCAAAACGATTTGCCGAATTTGGACTCTTTGGTGATTTATCAATCTCACATTGCACATTGTGAGATCAGACTAAGAACCGACACAAATCGAGTCCGAACTGTAGCATGAGGCCCGAGGGCGCGTCTACAGCGACCGATTTTGAAATTGATTGGTATTTCATGCTAATTAGGAATTATATAATTTTATGGTAGGTTTAATTAAAATTTGATTTTGAATGATTAAATTAGAATAAATAATGTTAAATTACATTAGTTGAGTTTACTACATAATTTCCATTGAGTGGATTAGTTCAAGACCAATCCTTTTCACACTTTATACATGTTTAACACACCACTCTTTAGCCATCTTCTTGACCAAACCGTGATAGAGAGAGAGAGAGAGAGAGAGAGAGAGAGAGATTGAGAAAAATTGATTCATCAAGAGTTTGTCTTGAAATTTAGAAGAGATTGAAGGCGACTTGAGGAATTAGGCTTCTACATTTGGAATTCAAGACATAAGGTAGGAAATTCATTCTCTTGATTATGTGGATTTGAGAGTGAATTCATGCATTCATTTCCATATCATAGAGTTTGAAGTTATTTTTCATGAAATTCTTACATGCATGTTCATATTTTAGTTGTGGTCCAAGAATTCACCATGTTTTAGAGTCCAATCTTGCATTTGATCATGTTTTGGAGCATTAGAGTTCATGAGAACTCATGCATGTTATGTTCTTGCATTGTTCAGGAAAGTTTCATTGGAATTGTGTTTAATTGGCATACTTTTGGGCTTTGATTTTATAAAATGATCTTCAAAACATGTTGTATTATGAGTTTCTAAGTGTTTTCTAGAAAATTGGCCCAGAAAATTCGAGTTCAAAGCTTTAAAGGTTGAGTTTTGTGCTTGAGGATCAATCTGAAAATTTCAGATTTTTGATTCACGCTCGAGCGGAGGACTTCACGTTCGAGCGTACACTCTGAGTACTTGCACTTCCACTCGGGCGTCGATAGTCACGCTCGAGCGTGAAATGCATATGCCTAGAAGTTCATGTGTTTTGACGTCCGCTCGAGCGAGGTGATCTGCGCTCGAGCGAGGGTCTAAGTCTTATACTCGATCGTGGGTCGAGCGTCCATCGAGCGTGAAAAATGTGCAACCAGTACTTTTTCATGAGTTTACCGTCCGCTCGAGCGAGGGAAGTCACGCTCGAGCAGAGATTTATTGTCTACATGTCCGCTCTAGCAGAGAAAGCCACACTCGAGCGAGACCCCTGTTTTCAGCAAATTTTGAAAAGTATTTTAAAGGACATCTTTGCATACTCATTCTATCCTAGGCATTCCTAGGCCATGTTTAAGGCATATTAATGAGGATAATGTTATAGAGCCACACCAAGTCAAGATAGGTGCTAAGTTATTAATCCCAAGTGTGTAACTTAGTGCGTGTTCATTCTGCAACTATGTAGGGTTGGCACCCAAAGACGCTGATTAGCCTGTCTATAACCCAGTAATCTGTGAGTAACAATGTTGTAAAGATACGTTCAATTATAATTATTTTTGAATGATTGACTGCACTGCTTTCTGAAGTGTCATTGTTTACTGAATGAATGTTTGTCTTGTTTTATGAACTGCACTCGTGGCATCCATAGCAACTTGCTGTTACTGTTACTGTTACTGTTACTGTACTGTTACTGCTACTGTCACAGAGATCTCTGTCAGTTCCAATGTTTGGAACTGCTACTATTTACTGTTCTAATGGCCATCAACTGACTGTTCGGTCTATTAAGACCTATTGTACTGTTTTGCTATTGGATGTACCACCTATGACTGCTATGATTTCTGATTGACTGATATGGCATGAAATATGAGCCACTGATTGAATAACTGATCTACTGATGCAAATGATTGTTTTAATCACTGAAGGGACATTCATTCTTAACCCTTTTACACGTTTGTTATTCACTGGACTTTAGCTCACTATTTATATTTATATGTAGGTAGCCAGGCACCGGACCGAAGCTAGATGCGTCAAGTTAAGCTTTTGTTTTGTCCAGCCAACCGTTTTGCCTCACCCCGAGGTTTCGAGTCTTCTTAAGCCAAGGCTGTTTTGGGGTGTCTTAGATTCATCATTTTGTCTCTGTTTTTAATGAATACTTAAGGCTCTTGACAGTACAGTTATGGTGAAGGGATTGGATCCCTAACCTGTATGTTACGTGTATTTGATATGTATATATGTTTATGGTTATGATGTGCACTAGTCTATAAAAGTCTTTTTCCATTTAGATTTTCACAGCTCATTGGACATCTTTTATTTACTATTTGGCTTCTGCCAACCCCTTACTCTGTATTACTGTCATTACTGTTAAGCAAGCCTTTGGTAATCACGGATTACTGGCCGGTTACGATACTAAACCCTTAGGGGCGTGTTTGGGTCATGACAGAGTGGTATCAGAGCACGAGTTATACCGCACACACGTGTCCAAATGAGCTATAGGATGTCCTAGAAAAGTAATTAGGGCATTGCATGAGCATGAGAAAGTGTGTGTGGCCATGATATGAATATATGTGCTAATGTGCTTAAGTAAGCAATTTCCTTTGTTTATTATTACCATATTGCATATAGTGAAATGGAGAATGCAAGAAATGCCAATGAATCTGAATCATCTGAAGCAAGAATGGCAAGGTTGGAAAGAATGGTTGAACTGTTGACCGAGGCCCTAAGGCAACAACAGAACCAACAGCCCCCACCTCCTCCAGTACCAGAACCGAATACCAATGATGATGTAATTGCTTTGACACAGAAGTTCAACAAAGTGAAGCTACCAACATTCCAAGGAGGTCTTAAGCCATTAAAGTCTGAAGCATGGGTTTTAGAAACCGAAAAGTTGTTCGAAGTGTTTCCTTGTTCGGAGGCACACAAAGTATTACTGGCTACCTTTGCCTTACAAGAAGAGGCTAGACGGTGGTGGATGCTCATTCGTGATACAAACAATGTTATGACTTGGGCTCAGTTTAAAGAAGCCTTTTTTAAGAAATACTTTCCCCAGTGCGTCCGAGACCGCAAGGTAACTGAATTTGAACAGTTGAAGCAGGGCACCATGTCAGTAGCAGAGTACGAATCTAAGTTCATTGAACTCGCTCGACACGCACCACACATGGTTGATACTGATTATAAAAAGGGCAGGAAGCTTGAAGGTGGGCTTAATGTAGAGATACTTGATCGAATCAATGTTTTGAAACTACTCAAATATGTAGATGTCCTTGACTGAGCAATTATAGCCGAGGCAAATGTCACTGCATTGCAACAGACTAAGAAGCAAAACATTGAATAAGACTAAGACACTGGTGATCGAATGGCAGGGTAAGAGGTGAGGCTTCAATTTCAAAAAAGGCTGAAATAACTCATTGAATAAGAAGCAAAACACAGGGTCAACAAGCAGCTCTAGTCAGGGAAATAGTTCCATACCACCCTACTCCGAATGTGGCAAAAGACATAAGGGGGTTTGCTATAAAATTTTTGGGGCATGTTACAAGAGTGGCAAGGTGGGTCACATGGTCAAAGATTGCCCTTCCACGTCTCAAGGTAATAGTAAGGCTGTAGCTAGTGCCGTAGCATCAACTATTACACCAAAACCCAATCCCAAAGCAACTGGAAAGGAGCCTTTAAGGCAAGGCCGGGTGTTTGCACTCGTACCGAGAAATGTACAGAACACCGAGACAGTTGTGTCAGGTATACTCTCAATTTGTGCTCAAAATGCCTCTATTCTGATTGATTCGGGGTCTACACATTCGTTTGTCTCGCATGCTTTTTCATGAAAATTAAATAGACCACTCGAACCCATGAATTATTTGTTAGCTATATCTTCACCTGCTGGGGGATCCATGACTTGTGCTTATGTGTATCCTGCATGTGAGATTGTTATTGGGGATGTACTTTTGTATATTGATTTACTGCCTTTGAATATTGATCATTTCGATGTAATTTTGGAAATGGACTGGTTAACAAAATATCATGCTTCCATAGACTGTGTAATGAAACAAGTTGTTTTTAGTCCACCTGGATTGCCTGAATTTGTATTTAACGGAGTTGGTGCAGTACCTCCCCCATATATGATTTCGTCCATGAAAGCATTCAAATTAATTAAAAAGGGATATAAAGGGTATTTATGTTGCATATTGACTGTACCTGCTGATACTAAAGCTAATGTGGACAGTATTCCTATAGTCAGAGAATTCCCAGATGTTTTTCCAGATAACTTGCTAGGGGATTTGATTGATAGGGAGATTGAGTTCGCCATTGAGGTGTTACCGGGTACACAGCCAATTTCCACAGCTCCGTACAGAATGGTGTAGACACACTATTTTTGACTGACCTTAAGACTCAGACGTCATCAATTGAGTGCTCGGCGATTGTGCATGTTGTGCTCGTTTCTAGTTTCTGGCGTTTTCGGCTGAGTGCCTTGCCTCCGGGCCTCTGAACTCTTTGTGTTTTGGCTCGATTTGTGGACCAAGCCTTGTTTTCCTTGCTTGGAGGGAAGGGAGAGGTCTGTAGACCACGTTTTTGTGGTCGTAGACCACTTTTCCTGCTTGGAGACTAGTTTCTAGTTTTCAGAGCCTTTGGCCGCGCGCCTTGTCTTGGAACCGCTTAACGTTCTCTGTTTGGCTTGGTTTTTGAACCATGCCTTGTTGCCTCTACCTAGAGGGACACTGTGGTCCGGGAGGCCACTTTTTGTGGTCGTAGACCACTTTTGGTGCCGGTAGACTAGTTTTCGAGGCTTCCGGTTGCGCGCCTTGCCTCCCGAACTTTCGTCTTGCATCCTTTTTGGTTTGTTTTTGGTACAAACCTTGTTTTCCTTGCTTGGAGAGTGGTATAAGGGTGGGAGACCAGTTCTTCCCCTTAGAGACCACTTTCCTTCCTGCCAGCTAGTTTTCTAGTCAGCCAACTAGTTTTCTTTGTCTTTGGACCACCTTTTCTGGTCGGCCACCACACCACTGCCTTGCTTTCATGCTGCAGACCATCTCCCCCCCATGGTCGACCACTTTCTTCCTTGGCCCACCACTTCCACTGGTCGGCCGACCAGTGTAAGTGGCTGGCCGACCACTTCAAGTGGTCAGTAGCTTTCTATCACCTATTTAGAGATATTTTGGAGCCAGCTGTAACAGTTGGAAGGCACAGAAACCATCCTCCATGCACGTGTATGGAGGGATGGCTTTAGGCCTTAAGCTTGTTCAACAAGCTTAGCCTTTGGTTCTCTATAAAAGAGAACCTCCCCCCTCTTGCCTTAGGTTGAGATTTTAGTGCTTGAGCTATACATATACACCTTTGTCTCTATATTGCTCTTCTTTTTCATTTTTGTGCTTGAAAGTACATTTTCATCACACTTTTGCATACAAACACACACTCAAACACCATCCTATTGTTGCTAAGGCACTTTGAGGTTGATTTTGGAGTTTTTGGACTAGTTTGAGCTCAAAGAGGTTATTGGAGTTGCAGCCTTAAAGTGGTTCTACGAGGGTGAGTTACTAACCCTTAAAACCCTTATTTTTGCTTAAGCTTTTGGCCTTACTTGCATGTTGTTTTAAGCTTAACTTTAAACTACAAAAAGTTCTGATTTTGCATGCTTGTAATGTTTGTTTAAGGTCTCTTTTGTGTTGGGGGTGGTCTACCCCCACTTAGTCCTTGTTAGGCCTTGTTTTGAACCTTCCTTTTAAGCTATTGGGACCACTTCTTTTTGGCCTTCTTACCACTGAAATCCAAAGGATTTTCAATGGTGGAAAGGTGGTTTTGAGGTCCCAAATAGGAGAGGGTCATCCCCTCTCCTTGTTGCTTGGTTGCTTGCTTCATTTGCCTCATGTTTGAGCATATTTGTTAAGCTTATGTTGGCTCTATCTTAGCATGTATTTGGGGTTATTTTGACATGGCATACCACTGTTTTGATTTGTTTTTGTCACCCCTTGCATGCTCCATACACTTGTAGTGTAATTCCATGAACTAGCCTAATGTGTACCATGCTTTAGACTATCATTCTAGCATCATTTCTGTTTAACTCCAACAAGCTTTTGTCCATGTTTTAGCATGCTGTAACTCTGATTTATGTTGTTTTGGTCATGCATGCCATGCTTTGTATAGCTATAGTGCATTCTAGCTTGTTAGCTTTGTGTATTGAATCCACTAGCATACATTGCTTGGCCTATTTGAATGATTTAGAATCATTTGAAATGTGATTTCAGTGCATGCAGTGTGGTCATACACTCATATCTTTCACTTATTCCATGCTTTGAAGGGTTGGTCCTTTATGCCTTAAACATGGGTCATTGTGTATGCCTTCATGCCTAAGCTTGTGAGCTATCATTTCAGTGTGTTTTTGGGATTGTTTTGCCATGATATAACTCTGATTTTTGTTGGCAAAGCCATCCCATGCTTGGTCTTTATAGGTGTAGTGTAATCCTTCCTTTTGGCCTTGTATGCACCATGCCTTATGTTTTTCATGCTAGCTTGTTTTGGCTTCCTTACATGCATGTTTTAGACTCATTTTGACATGCTCTAGGACTGTTTTTGTAACGCCCTCAAAATAATAACATTAAACCCATCAAATAAGACATGCACTGACATATGAACTAGCCACATTCTTACATTCATTAAAATTCCATTACATAAGTATTACATGTTAACATCATATCAAAATGCCCTACGGGCTTACAGCTTTCCAAGTTAACACTTGGTTACGCACCATAGCATGCTTCATTTGTATCATATGCATGATTTGGCATCATTTAAAATGACATTTCAGAGCATATAGCATTGCCATGTTCCCATTTATTTCACCCTTTGAGTGCCTCTAAGGGTTGTGCATTGTTGCCTTGCTTATGGCCTAGTTTGTATGCTTGCATGCCTTGACTTTTGAGTTCCCATCTTAGAATGTTTTGGTCTTTGTTTTGACCTACTTGAGCTCTGTTTGTGGCTGGTTCATACATTTGTGCCATGTATTGCATACCTCTAGAGTAGTCCTCCTTGGTAGCCTTATGCCTTAGGGACTCTTGCATGCCTTGCTTATGTTGTTTGAATGATTTGGCATCATTTCATACCTTATTTCAGAGGTTATAGTGTTGTTACACTCCTATGTTTATCACTCCTTGAGCACTCTTGAGGGTTGTGCTCTTAGGCCTAATTGATAGGCCAATGCATGTGCATGCTTGTATATGCTTTTGTGCCTTCATTTCTTAGCATTATGGCCACTGATATAGGCATGGCTGAGGTCTGTCCACATTCGGTTTAAGTCCATTAAGCATGTTTGTTTGCATGTAGTTTGCATGCTTATGTTACATTGCATTGAGTATGCCAGGTTGTTCTTAGCATTGTGCATGCCATATTGTTTGCATGCTAATGTTACATTGCATTGTGTATGCTATGTTGTTGTTTGCATTGTGTATGTCATGTTACAGTGCATTGAGTATGCCATGTTGTTGCTTGCATTGTGTTTGGATAGGATGTTAGTCCAAACACGAGAAATGAGGGACGTTTCATACTTGAAGTGATGAAACGTGCCTCATTTCTCGGTCGTCGACCCTCTTGATCAATCATGATAGAGGTAAAGGCATTTATGTGTTATGTGTGCATTCATTTCACATTGATTCGTGCAATCTTGGCTTCTCGGCCATCATGCATCGAGATATGTGATTTGTGGCCCGATGATCGAGAACTACACTCCCTTGAGATCGTGAAATGATAGGGAGAGTGGTTGTGCACACATACCTTGCAAATACATTGCCATGCCCTTTCTTGCTCTCTGTTACAGCAAACTGGAGAAGTGCAGCAACAACTGGTCGGCCGACCAGAAAAACTAGCTGGCCGACCACTTTTTCTAGTCTACAACAATGGCAAGTGGTCGGCAGGTGGTCTACAACATCAACAACTAGTCGGCCATGCTCCTGAGGGTCCCCAAGGTGAGTTAGAAGCTATCTGGAGCTTTGTGCAAAGTCCTGAGAACAATTGCAAACAGAGGCAAGTTGGGGCATTGCGACGGATTTCCAAACGAGGTGACCGGGCATGCATGCACTCCTCTTCCCGAGGACCTCCCTTTACTGCTTTTCTTAGCTAGTTTATGCTTTGGTTCTATACCTAAGTAGTTAATGCGTTTAGCTGCTTATTTGTGTTGTAATAACTAGTTGGTTAACTTGTTAGTTAATTAGCTTAGTTTTGTACTTAATTAGTTAACTTGTTAGTTAATTAGTTTTTGTGATGTAATAATTAGTTTAATTAGCTTAGATT